AAGCCGTTTGATCCCCTCTCTAGAGGAGCATTAAAAGAGAGAACGGGTCGGCAGGGGTGGCAACAGAATGAGGCTAAATTGGACAGAAACCACATTGTCCTCTAATTGTGAGAGCAATTCTTTAGTCCTTGCAGGGATTAATCAGAGAGTGTGCAAAAGCCCCTTCATTATATAGGAGGGTAACAACACAGCACTCCCACTGTAACCCTTTCTGGATCTTGATTGCAATGGGCAAACAATCCGCTCTCCACCCTCCACCTCTAAATCCACCAATTTAACCTCAATGCATCTCGTACTTAGTGAGTGTGTGAAGGAGCCATTAAACTTAGCCCGCAGGCAAAAGTGCAGCATTGGTGCCCACCGTATCCACCTTATTGCTACTCTGCATGAGCCTTTGCGTCATTTAGTTGCGCATGAGCCGAGACCCGTGTTTTGTTCGCAGAGTATCTCTTTGCGGGAGTCTACTTTCTATCAAAAATGAAATTAAATCCAGAAAGTCGCGCACATGATCGTTTCTCTGTGAGAGCCCTCATGAAGAAAGAGGATACATTCTGAAATACACGATGCTTAATCAACTGGGGATAAAACACAAGCTGTCAGTGGTCAAACATGAATCGTTGTTGCAGGCGTTAAGACAGACAAAGGATGAACAAATTCCATTGCACTGGCAATGTAGTCTAGATTATAAATCAAGGGTTTCTAAAGTCCGGCCCGCCGCCCAATTGCAATAACATCTTTAGAAGCCAGCAACTTGTGAAAAAAACAGGGGAGGAGCTGAGTGAAAACTGGGTGTTGAAAAAGTGTGTGTGGAGGAGGAGGGCTTGCAGCGTCCATATCTACCTATTACAAATGAATTACAAAATTCTGAAAGAAAATTGTAATTGGAACAGTAGCCACATTTCTATTCAGAACACCCCAGTAAGTAAATATAATTCAGGTTCAAAGGTAAGTAGTAGTGAATCGCCATGTTTGCACCGCTTTTACATTGTCAAACGCCAATTTGTGAAGCATATCACGCAAATAATCCTCCTTTAAAGACCGCCAGCTCATTACAGACTGCTTTTGTTTTGATGATGAATGTGGAGATGTTATACTGCTATTGGAGGATCGACTCTAGTGGGATACACACCAAAATCCTGAAGAATCACAAACAATCTGCAGTTGCATTTTTAATAGGAAGCTGTGATTTTGTAGGGTTTGTTTGATCAATAAATTAATGAAACAACGCATATTTTGTGGACTATTACAGTGTGTTAAGGATTTAAACGTGACATTTTTCAAAGTGGCTCTTGCATCCTTTGATTTTCCTGTAGGCAGCCCTCAAGCAGAGAAGTTTGGACAGCCATGTTTTCAATGAAACAAAAATGTGACAAAAACATTCAGAGTGGGACAACATTAAAAACACATTAAAAATTGGTCGGGAAAAAAAAAAAACTTGGTTCAGGCTTTCCGACGAACTCAAGAGTGTTTTCTTTCACTAATTGTTGCAATAGCTGGAACTCTGCTTGCTGGTGGTGTTTTCAGATAAAACCAGAAATAACATCCCGTGTCAAATGATCTCCCTGTGGTCAACATTCCCTGAGGTCCTCGGGGGGCCCCTGCACCCTGAGGAGGGGGGCAAGCATTATCATCTTTAAAATGAACTCTAATTTGTACCTGTGGCACATGGAGATTGATGGATCCAAGCAAAGTTGGATCTCATACAACTCCTAGCAAAAAAAAAAAAAAAAAAAAAAGATGGAATCCCAAGTTTCACAGGAGCATTGATGTTCTTTTAGTTTTTCTATTTTGTCGAGAAATTTTGTTGTCGGACTTTAAGAAACACCCAAATAAATAAAATGAGTAAAGAAATAAATAAACCCAAAAAACAATTAAATAAGGAAGAGTCGGTAAAAGACCAATCAGAGTGAAAAAATATGGAATCACTCAATTCTGAGGAAAAAAAAAAGATCACCCTGTAAATTTCCATTCCCCAAATGAACACCAGCATCAGATTAGTTCTAACTGTTAGCTGGCAGTTAAACGGAAGTGATCACACCTTGGAAAGCTGTTGCAGCACCGTCTGACGGGAATCATGGCTCCAACATGATGGATGTCAAATGCAACAAAAACGAGTCAACTTCTGAACGCAGGTAAATCATCACGCAATGTTGCAAAAGATGTTGGTTGTTCTTGGTCAGCTGCATCTAAAATCTGGTACAAAAAACATGGAAGGGTCATTCAAGGCAAGCAGACTGGTAGACCAAAGAAGCTCAGGTCGGAGGAGGAAATGATCCTTTTTCCAATCATGTTGAGTCTCGGTGATGTGACATGGAGTACGCAATAAAGAAAGGACATCAATTAGCAAGGTGAGGTGACGTTAAAATGACTAAGATAGAGTTGTCGGGCAGAATGTAGCATCCCGCCAGAGTCAAATGGTAGCTTTCCAGCTAGCTCCATCAGTGAAGCGATATTAACCCTAGACTGCCGTGTCACGGTACTCGGGACAGTCAAATGAGACTTCCCCACCACCGCAGCCTCAAAAAACAAATTTGGCGCACATTTGGCTATGCCCACCTGTGTACCCGTTGCAAGGACTATTCTTTTCCACACACAGAGGACTCTAGGATTTTACTCGGCCTTCTGATGCCAGTGCAAAAAAACTATATAACATCAAATGGCTCGTGTACTGTCGGCCTACCAGACCATTCCCTGGGATAAAAATCAAGGAAAAAAGGATTTGTAAATGACTTTGCTGAGTGGAAAACCTGCAAGATCAGCTTCTAATGTGTGAGCACAGCTTCTTTTGCGTGTTGAAGTGGAATTAGTTGGATTTAAATCCATGGCAAAGTATTTCTGACCTATTGTTTTTTTTTTGTTTTTGGGGTTTTTTTTTTGGTGGGGCGCGGGGGGGGGTTTTTTGGGGTGGGTGCCATGATGAGCCTTTTGCATATATTCCAACACATTTCAAGGTTGTAAAACAGAATACAAAGTATTGGAACTTTTTCTTTTTTTGCGGTTTTGTTAATGCTCAATAAACCAATCACAACATTAAAATTGGATACTCAGCAAAATATTTGGAGACAATAATCAGTCCTCTTGAGTGGCTGTGTGTTTATGGTTGTGTTTTGGCAGGGGCCTGAGTACAATAAAAAGTTTGCATCGGGTCCTAGCACCATGATGTTACGTCTCAGTCCCCGTTTGTGCACTTGAACCAGCCAAGAAAATACAGGGTGGGACCACTGTTTATGCTGCACTGTTTAAGTTGAATGCATACATGTACAATTCCTTGACGCAAAGTCCATTTTAAGATAAATTCAAAAAAAAAAAAGGACGCAGCAAAGCAGCACTTGAATAATACTATGAAGGTATTCATAGTGCTGAAGGGCCAGCTGTCACGACACGGTACATTCATGCACCATCCTTTATTTTTAGCAGGGATGCGTTTATTTAACAGCTGTGTGATGTAACATTCTAGTTTCTCTCTTTTGGGGATACACTATGTTTACGTTACCTTAATGTACAGACTTTTTGCACTTGCGCTGACATGAACATAAATAAGCTGTCTTCCGCTTGCTGTCAAAGATGATCGTAAGTGTTCTGACCGCATTATGAATATTGAATGAATGTTTGGGAGCTGTAGATGCAGATGGTTTTATAGATTAAAACAAAAGTTACATAACAGCTGTTGTGGAAAAGTACCAAAGGGGTATTTGTATTCAAATAATTGGGAGCAGCAGATTTGTGCCTCAAACGGCCTCTGCGCCCTCATCTGGCCTGACGTTGTATTTTGCTGCCCTCTCCTGGCAAGAACCTTGAGAACTAACCATTATGTTTCTATTTTTTTCCCCATCCAACTATGTAAGTATTACCGTCGGACTTCTTGATATTATTACTAATTATATATCAGAGGGGGTTATGTTCCAATCTTGATGAAAAAATTACTGTAATTTTTGATGGGTTTTAAAACTTAAGGGATGTTTATCATGTATTTTGCCCTGACATGGTAAGCAGACCTGTTTAATTGTTCAGCGTTCATATCTGATGCATAGGTCGGAGTTGTTATATTATGCATACAAACTTCAGTTTATGACCACGACACTTTAACTGTAGCGACAATAAAACACCGCTCAGGGTAACTATCAGCGACAATAACTATACAGAGGAGCAGTTACAGGGGGGCTGTAATTTCACTTTCACTCCGTGCAGACCTTTTGCCCCCTTCAACTCGAATCAAACTTTAATTGCTTCCTCTGCCTCTGGAAAAAAAAAGAAAAAAAATCACACTTCTCACCTCAGTCATATGATGCTAAAGATCAACAGCTCCCATACAAAAGCTGTTTTACACAGCAAATAATTGACAACCCCAACATTAGAATCATAAGACACGATAACTTATTTTTCTTTACTGCTAAAAATATAATTTGGATTAAATTCTTTCTTATCATATACCAGTAAAATCTAACTTTTTTTTATTGATTACATGTAGTGGATATAAAAAGTCTCAACACCGCTGTTCCATTCGCACGTTTGTATACAGTCAAACGTAGGCCACAAAATAAATCATTTCATTAAATTGTCACATTCAAACTCATGTTAAAGCACAAATAAATTCTAGCAGTTCGAGATTTTCAACGGTTAATTCCCTCCACCTTGGCATTTTCTCATCACAAAACCCTTGCGTTTGAAGAGTGGTGTGTAGACTTTTTATATTCACTGTATTATCATTACAATTCTTTACACACTGATTGGGAGCGCACACATGGCTTCTACTGCCTTATAGAGAAGCATTTGGCATCCTCTTAAAGGCAAGTTTAGCAATCAAGGTCCTGTTCCTTTTCTCAATGGTAATTGTTGTTCACAGTCATATACAATTGCACTGCACCATACCAAAAGTTGTTTGGAATGTTTTTATCTAGAACACAATTGTCAGTATGATGCAGACCAAAGTAAAAATAAAAAATGAAGCAAAAACAAACCAAAAAAAAAAAAACAAATGTGTAAAACATTCATTTGTTGATAGTGCCCCTGTTTAGATCTCAGCATACCGTCAGGTCAATGCACTCACGTCGCTCACAAGAGTAGGCCAGGTGAGTCTCAGGTAAGGTGTGACGTCATCATGGTACTTTTGAACTCTCCGGTTGTAAATCTATAAAGGTGTGTACTTGCTGCTCAGGTAGCCGGCCATTGTGTGTCTCTGTGTGTGTGCGCACGAGTTAGTGGCGTCTGAGTGTTGGGGAAAACAAGAGACGTTGAAGTTGCTGCGAATAAACACCGAAAATGGTCCAGGAGGTTTGAGTGGTTTACCTGAGAGAGGCTGCTGGTCGCCAGCATGTACCCTAACTCCCAGCCGGCCAGATTCCCGGCGCAGACGCTGCCTATCAACAGTCAGTACATGGTGCCGCCGTATGACTTCACCTCTTACCATCACATGCCGGGAGTCGCCGACCCATCCGCGAGTGCATGGAATCCCGTTTACCGCGAGGAGTACCCCTTCAACTTCCCGGGTTCCAGCCCTGGCGCCGGGCAGGTGAACTTCAACTCAGCAGAACTGAGCGGCATGTCCGCCGGCCCTGGAGGAGGAGCCCTCAACCAATACAACCTTTTCTCTAGTCAGGACCCCTTTTGCCGCAGGAGACCCCATGAGCCCGCCAAGGTCCCGGCCCCTCCAGGTTTGACTGCTTTATCATGACATGAAGTTCATGTTTTCTTTGAGGTTTTAATTACATATAGATATTGACATTGAGTGGAATTTTTGGACAGGAAAAACATTTTCTGACATACATATCAGCAGCACTAATCTCTCGCTTACCATGTACTATGCTCTTTACTGATGATTATTTGTTATTGTTTGGTGATTAGAAAAAAACTAAACAACTATTAAAAAATAATACATGACAGGGATTGATGTCCTCGCCACCCTTCTGGGAACTGGTTCAGTCAGTGTTATCCAAAAATCTTTTTTTGATTAAACACAAAATGACAATCAATCTGCTTTCATGAAGGCCAAAGAAAATGAGAGAATAACGACTGTTGCAAGGCTGAAATTGGAATTTGGAATTTAAAAAAAAAAGGCTCAAAATGATTACTCAATTATAAAAATAGTTGTTGATTAATTGAAGAATTTGGACATCTGTAATATACAGAGAAAAAAATCAATAGAAAATAAAAGTATTTTTGCACCGTCGTAAATATAGTTTATACCAGTGTTTGCCAACATTTATTGAACCAATTAAGGCACATATTTTGTATATTTCTCACCGCAAAATACCAACATGCCAGCATATTTTGTTTCACTAAAGTAGGTTGAGAGGAAATGTACTCTTGTTACATCACTATCAACACAGGTATAATGTTGATTATATTATTTTTTTTACATTTTGAAAATGATTCATAACCAGTGGCGGTTCCTGATTGGTGCAATATGTCTGTCAGCACCAAGAAACATTTCTGAAGAGATGCCCAAATAATAATTTTTAAAAAGTGCTCTCTACAATGGCTTTCTATTGGTATCATGACATGTAAAGCACTGAAATTTGGTGCCATTCAAGATAGATCACCGCCGTTCATATCCCTGGCAATTTTGAAGAAACATAATCTACTGTTCAAAAAAAGATAAAAGGAACACTCGAACAGCACAATCTAACTCCAAGTGTTCCCTGCTCAAGTCTAGCTAAAATTACAGCATTTTAATTATAATAGAAAAAGTATAGGACATTGGACATGCGCGTATTGAAAAACTATTCAGTTTTGGTCATACAAAAATTATGGAAAAACAGCTCAACGTATTTTGTCTTTTTACATTTTTTACTGTATATAAACGTGTCATTGTAAGACAAACCACAAAAACATTAAAACAACATGCACATGTTTTGAGTCTGTGCATACTAGTAAGCTACAGAAAAAAATCTACCTATACACATTATATATATATATATATATATATATATATATATATATATATATATAGTTGCATCCTAAAAAGTAAATGTAATCTGAATCTTGGTTCTGAATCCAGTGTATATTATTTTACAAGTCTGTCACATAGACAACCAACGCTATAGGTTGCTTTCTACACACAGCAAATGCAATGCACGCAGTCTGTGAAAAGTGTTATCATAATACACTTATTTACTCAAGGCTTGAGGCTGGGACGTTATTTTTAAGTTGCTCCCGATGACAAGTTAACCACTAATGCTTGTCTTCATGCACATCACCAATTTCGACATACACACGACATAGTTAAGTCAGAGTGACTGCGCGCGCGCGCGCACGCACACACACACACACACACACACACACACACACACACACACACACACACACACACACACATACATCCATCAGGCTTTTGGCCTCTCCCTTCCGCAAACTTGCGTGGGTTGTCAATGCAAAGCTAACAAAGCAGGCACCGCAGGCTGCTAAAGTGTCGTTCCCCACCCTCTCTCTGTGAGCACAAGGGTGACAAGCAGACGAGATTTAGAGGGGCCACAGTGTGCAGACCCTCGGGGCCTCACTCAAGTCTGCGTGTCCCACGTTCCCGTTTGCTCAACTTTGATCGATGTCATCACGCAGTCAAGATTTCCCGATCAATAACTGACTCACCCTTTTCTGTGAATGTGTGTGTCAATGAATAGCTGCCTGTGTAAACAACTATGTAACGGGCTCACAGCGATAAGGAAAAGCCCTGCCGCAATGCACTGGAAAGTCTTTCCATTAAGTTTGATAAATAGAACTGATGGGGCTTTAAGTGGCGCCTGAACTTGAACCCGGCACCAGACAAAAATCTCAACGTCAAAGTAGTCGTCCACTTGGCTACACCACGTGTGACTCACCGCAGTCACGAGGAGTCTTGTCAGTGTGTCGATTTGTCTTTTTTCTATAATAAATTTAGAGACGAGCAGGCACAGCTCCCGACGTTTTTTTCTCTCCTGCGGTGAAAGGGAAGGCGAGACTGATATATCGTGGGGCTGAGAATAAATGTATTTTAGAAGATCAAATAAAATACTCATGTCTGATATAATGGACAAAGATGAAAACAAAGGACATGGTCGCTGTAATTATAGTTATTTTTACTTCGTTTTATTAACGTAAGACGTAGCATCAATTAATTTGAGTTTTTTTGGAAGCGTTTTTATTTTTGTTTTATTTTGTTCATGAAAATGTTTTTCGACTTTACTTTTAGTTGTTTCCTTAGCTTTCGTTAACTCTAATAATGCCAATAACCATTGATGCCAGTTTGAAAAGCTTTGTAATTGCCTGTCGATGGCAATAAATGGCGGCAAAGTCCTTTTTGTCAGCCCCTCCAAAGGGGTGGAGTGCCCTCTCTGGGTCGCGGATGAGATCCTGCCCCAAGTGGGGGAGTTCAAGTATCTTTGGGTCTTGTTCACAAGTGAGGACAGGATGGAGTGGGAGATCGACAGCTCGGTCAGGGCTGTATCGATCTGTCATGGTGAAGAAGGGGCGGAGCCCAAAGATCTCCCAGATGAGTAGGGTCAGTCGGGTGGCTCTGCTGGGGGTCGGTGAATTTTGGGGCAGTCATAGATTACGTGCTCCGCAATCTCCTCCCCAAAACCGCACTTCCTGCTGGTTGTGTCAACCGCGTGATTGATTTTGGCGAGACAGTATCGATTGATTATTTTTTATATTCAATAGAAAATAGCGATTTGTAAGCAAAAATAATATATAGAGACACGATAGTCCTGTTTTAGATTAATTTCTTACGCTGATGCTGTTGCCGTAAGTGGGAAAAATCATTGGCCTGGCAAACATGATGTGACGGGGAAAACTAAGCCATTTTGCACGATGGAGAATAAGTGGACTTGTTTTGTATGTTTTAGGAGGAAAGACTCGCACAAAGGAAAAATACAGGGTGGTTTACACGGACCACCAGCGGCAGGAGCTGGAGAACGAGTTTCAGTTCAACCGCTACATCACAATGAGGCGCAAGTCGGAGCTGTCCGTGGCACTGAACCTCTCCGAAAGACAGGTGTGAGCCCAGGGCTGCGTGGGAGTTTGTCCGATGCTAAAATTGTACGGGCTGTTGCTTGCAGCTGAAGATGGCTACGTCTGATATTTGGATTTGGAGCATCACTTCTTATCCATCTTCCTTTTCAAAATTTGATCAATCAAACACAATGAATTGGAGTGCTGTGTTATTTTTAGGTTTCATAGATCATGAAAAGAATCGTTCAAGGTTTTCCTGCAGTTTACGGATGTGATGAACTTCATATCACACTCAGAAGAATATGCTGTGTGCAAACAGGTTGCTATTTTGTTCCAAAATAGATGCTAAGAGCCCAAAATATCACCACATTACTTAGCTATCTTGTCTCTGAAATATTAAAATTTCAAGAACTTAATTTAGAAATGTCTAAACCTTGACGGTACAACATTATAATTCAAGTGTCCTCAAGTATTCCAGTCAGCTGTGATAACCCTATTTTAGCTTAAAAATGATTGCCGTAGTGTGTGAACAAGCAAAAAAAAAAAAAAAAAAAATTGGTTACCAAGGTTGAAATCATTGAAGTCTTGAGTTTTTTTTGGGTCGAATAGTTAGCACGTCCGCATCACAGCACATCAGGGCAGGGTATGATTCTGGCTCTGGTCCTCCTGTGTGGAGTTTGCATGTTCTCCCCGCGCCTGTGTGCGTTTTTTCCGGGCACTCCGGTTTCCTCCCACATTCCAAAAACAAAAACCATGCATGACAGGCTGATTGAACACTCTAGATCAGGGGTATCCAAAGTCGGTCCTCGCGGGCCACTGTCCTGCCCGTTTTACATCTGTCCCTGCTGCAACACACCTGATCCAAATGATGAGAATCATTCTCATGCTTCTTCAGAGCTCGCTGATGAGCTGATCATTTCAATCAGGTGTGTTTCAGCAGGCCAGGGAGCGATACAAAACAGGAAGGACAGCGGCCCGCGAGGACCGGAGCTGGACATGCCTGCTCTAGATTGTCTGTAGGTGTGATTGTGAGTGTGAATTTTTGTTCGTCTGTGTGTGCCCTGCGATTGGCTGGCAACCAGCTCAGGGTGTACCCCCGCCTGTTGCCCGAAGACGGCTGGGGTAGGCTCCAGCACACCCGTGACCCTCATCAAGATAAGCGGATCAGATGCTGGATGGATGAAGAGATAGATGCATGAATAAACATATTTTTTCAACTTTTTTTTTTTAAAAATTGCGTTCTCTTACTTTGACATGTTGATTGGACTTCAATTAATTGTTCATCCTTATTATGTGGTTAATATTTTAAAAATATGTGTTCTATAAGCATCTTCCTAGGATATATTGTAAAGAAAGATCAGAAAACCTTTGTTTCACAATGGAGAAATTCACAATCTACAGCAGCAAAATTTGGAGAAAACATTAAAATGCGAGAATAAAAATGGATTGACTCTGGAAAACGGCACGGAAACAAACCCTCTTTATTTATTGCATTGAACTCAGCAAATCTCAACAAAGAGCATGGATGGGGTAGGCGACATATCTCTGTTTTGTCTGTGCGCAACAACTCTTGAAGTAGAATCTTTGCCACCTTCACCAGGTGAAGATCTGGTTTCAGAACAGACGCGCCAAAGAAAGGAAGATCCACAGGAAGAAGCTGCAAGATTCCCAGCAGCCCTCCACGTCCACCTCCACCCCGCCTGTGCCCACTGGGTCCAGTGACGGCCACAACGCACCAAGCCCAGGCAGCAATATTCTACCAAGTGCCATATCAGAAGAGTACAAGATGGAGTTCATATGACTGGGAAGTTGTTTTTGTTTTGTTTTTTTAACAGAATGAGAGAAGAGATTCGTAAAGTGTTGAAATGATGAACTGTGAGCCATTCACAATAAGGGCATTAGTCTGAAATGAACTATTTTTTGACAACTTTAATCTGTGAATGCGGATGACTCCGCAGATACTGTTCAGACCCAGAATGAAGAGATATAAATGGTCACAATGAAGGAAAATGTTAAAATTATGTTTGCCCATGCTGGAATTTCTTTGCCAGATATTGTGTAAGTGTCTGCAGCAGACATTCTTCTGTTTACTATGCTTTAAATACCGTATATAACAATGTGAATTGCACTTGAGCACATCAGGGATTAACACAGTGTAAAAAAAAAATGACTTCAATCATTTTGAGGCAAGCAAAATATTTTTATATTGAAAACAAGAAGAAAGAACAGAGAACGTTCTGTTTGTCACAATGAAGAAAAGATCAGCTTTCGCATTCATATTGACACAGAAAACATCGGCTCAGTCAAATGAGCAACGCAGCTGCGCCGAATTGCACGCACCAAATACTCTATATTACAAAAGTGTACAAACCGTGTTGATTTAAAACGGGGGTGGGAAAAAACATTTGTGAAAGGAATAGGGCCCAGCACAGTCATGACCCTGGTTGAAGTGTGAAAGGTTTTGTGCTAACAGAAGTATTAGACGGCAGCCACATCCTGACGTGCAGTTGCAAATTGCCCAACAGCATGTGACTCATGAGCGAATGGCCTTTACACCTCCATTCACACACGCGCACACACTATAGCACATTTTCAGCAACTGTGCGATTTACTGTGAAATTTAAAAAAAACAAGTCCCAGTCTCCGGCTGGTTGTGGGTTGTGGGGCGGGGGGGGCTGCAAAGGGGGGTCAACTATTTTAAGTACTTTATAAGAAAGACAGCTGCAGGCTTCTTCAGATGTCCTCTTTACAACTTTCGTTTCAAAAGAGGAAGGAAAAGTTTCAAAAGTTGAACATTTAAATGCTCACATTGGCCAAAAGACCAACGTCTTGCTGTTGGATCATCTTGTAAAGAAAAAAAGAATAGGTTGACATGTTGATGTGTTTCAATTTTCTTATTAAAATATGTTTGGCTGAGCAGTACACAAGATTGTTGCAATTATTTCATTTTGAGTTCTTTAGAGGTGGTCATGCATTTTCTATAACGATTGTGATTCGCAAAGTGTGGTGCGTATGCCACGAATGGTCCTCGGGCTCCCTCAAGTGGTATGCAAAAGAATCCCTGAGTAGAATGTCCAAACTGGGCATGTTATTTCAATCCAGATTAGTACAATTGCTCAGTACAGTTCCGCTGTATTAAACTTTTCAATTCACTACATTTGCATTTAATCGGTTTGTTTTAACTTTCATGAGCAATGCATTTGAATAAAATAATTTTTTCAGTAAACTTGTCATTTTCCTATATTTACAATGTGTTTACTGTAATGTATTTACTGTACGCATTATACAAACACAAAACTGTTCTTCCATGTCACAACACACGCACACACACACACACACACACACACACACACACACACACACACACACACAAAACCCCCCATAAAACAACAACAAAAAACAATAATTTCTCTGAGAGATACAGAGAGGAAAAAAAATCCTCAGTCTACATTGTGCCGTCCCTCTGGATCATTCATGGTTGATTACAAGGTCTGCTATTGCAGCTCTGATGTCATCAGTAATTCTCTTTCTAACTTGTCTTGCTCTGCCACCATCTTGCCGTCCTCCTCCCCTCCCTCTTCCTTCTTCACACCCACGTCTCCTTTCTCTGCTTCCTCCAATTTTCGCCGTTCTCAATGTTTCTGCTCCATCACACTCCACACCAACAGTTTACCTGTGGCTTGTTTATAGTGCTCATGCCGATTGCAAAGTCAACTAATTATCCAAAACAGCTTTCTCCTGTGACAGTGTGGCCGGACAGTTGGAAGAATCATGTAAATAATAGCCATAAATGTGTATAATTTTTCACGGAGTGTGTTGATCATTCGGAAATTGAGTGTAAAGCAGTAACTTGTTCCAAATTATAAACTCAGTTCGAAGACAGTGTTGGTGGTTGTAGTTTTGCAAACTCTGTGAGTGGTTTTGCGATACATATTAATAGTTTTAGAAGTTGTTCGACAAGAATCACTGTTAGAGTTTAAATATTGAGAAAAAAAAACTTTCAACCAAGTGTTGATGTTCAAACTATCCATAATCTGACTGTGGTTGTAAAAAAATATTTCTCATACTTTTTTGAAATAATACCACTGCCTCTTTTTTTTCTTTTTTTTTAGCATGGATACTACTATGCTACTGAATTTTAATGTTGGCCTTTATGTTGGTAGTTAGAGAGGTAAGTGATACTTGATGTAAAATGTTTGAGAACTACTGGCTTCTCTTACTCAGGGTTGGAGGTAACTGGATAATATGACAGTTCACTTTGGGTGAAAGGCAGAGACAGCTAGTCAATGACAGGGCACTTAGGTAAGCCATTCACTTAATCACTGAGTGGGATTGAAGCAAAGTTGCCCACAGGGGAGTCAGGCAAGTGAACCACAACACCATCTGTGACTTCTTGAAAACAAATTACATTAAATTGGAAATCTGTAGAAATACTCAGTGTCATTCAGGAAGAGTATTTTGTTTTAATGAGGCTGCCAGAACAATCAGGCTTAAAATCTTTGTCTTTTAATTGACATTTTTTAAAAACATTTTTTAATTCCAAAAAAAAAAAGAAAGTGGTTTGCGTTGTATAACATACAACATTAAATCCATGGTCTAAAGATTTAGGCTACATCGAAGAACAATGACTTGATCCATGACTTTGGTTTTATATCTTTGGCATGGTCGAGTCTGATCACATGAATATGTCACAATAGCAATTCACTTCATTGAAATGTCATTCAAGCAAACTTTTTTAAAACAGATTAAGCATTGCACATTTTCCAAAATTAAAGTTGTTTATGTAAATAAAACTGGTTTACAGAATACTGCACAATTTGGTGCACTGAACACAACACTTAACATGAAGTTAAAACGGCGCGGAACTGCTGGGGCTGTTTTATGACACTTGTGTCGTGTTATCAATTATTTGCTCGGTAGATTATGTCAGTCAAAAGTTCAGCAGAGTTTTAAGGAGAGCATTCAGTTAAAAATAATCTCAGGTGGGTGTTTGAGGACACTGCAACAATCACAGACCATAAAAATGTTTGATGGGGCTGTGAATCAGCTAAACGGTTGACCAGAATTGCCAAACTTTGACCCCAAATGACCAAACCAAATTAATTATAGTCAAAGAAGAATGAATGTGTGTGTGTGTGTGTCTATATTTAAAAAAAAACTATATATATATATA